GATAGACAATAAAATATTAAAAGGAATGAGTAAAAGTTACATTAAAAACCCTTTTTAAATCGATCCTGAGGTGTCAAATAAAACAGTTTAGCTCTGGCTTCTCGCTCGCTTCGCTCGCGAGTTTACAACTCTTGTAATAGTTGTTCTGTTGCTTCAGCTTAGAGTGGACTAACTTCATTGAAGCATACTACAAAAGCTACAAGTACTTTAAGCATTATCGTTGCTTTGCATTGATACTCTAAATCGACCTATTCCTACTTTCATTAACTGATCTAGAATTCAAATATTGAATCAAAAAATTTTCTCACACGCTTAGCTTTTTAAAGAAACATATATACACTCTCCAGCATTCCCATTATGGACATGTTAATTGCGATTTAGGAGGGTATTTCTTCCAATTATCTGATTAATTTGCAGACAATTGAGTGTCATTGACTTATAACACCTAAATTTCGAATAATGAAGAATGAAACATGTAACACGCCCCTAGTATGTAGGCAACTTTCATAACTTTCCACCTTTTGCCCCCCCCTGAAAAGTCGACGTGTCGGCGCCCCTGGCTTAGTCTTATGCCATCTCGCATAGCGCCTAGTAGGTAGGCAGCATCTTGCATACAGTGCATACTTGTACTGCGGGGTGGCCTACCCCGAGTCACGCAGGCGCTAAGCTCCCGTAATTTGACGAACAAATCTGAGAAAATACGGACGTACTTTCTGGACGGTCCCTCAGTTTTAGGATCTAGAACGCGAGTAACATCTCTCTAATATGTTTCGATTTTCTCTGTGAATTTCAGGAGGATGTTGCGGGTCAACGACCAAACGCACCATCGTCGGCGGCTGGGCTTGGGCATGGTGGCTCGTCACGGACGTGCAGTACCTGTCCCTGGAGGTCATGACGCTCAACCCCATGTGCGAGATGGTGGAAACAGCCCAGGGCGTGCCGCTGACGGTCACCGGGGTGGCTCAGTGCAAGATCATGAAGGCGGACGAACTTCTACAAACGGCCAGCGAGCAGTTCCTCGGCAAGTCCGTGAAGGAGATCAAGTCCACCGTGCTGCAGACTCTCGAGGGACACCTCAGGGCTATCCTCGGTAAGTAAGCCAATATGTCTGTGACAAACGCCAGGAAAAAAATAGTGGAAAGTTTGTCTGATAGGCGAGAAAAGCCTCAAGAAAAGCCTTCACTCGGGCGTGGCTCCGGAGAGTGGCCTTCAATATTTTTTGTCCTTGCTGTTCTTCTTGTTTATATTTTTTTCTTTGCTCAGTGTGGCCCCTTTTGGATTTCGTTCTGTCTTTATGTACCTTCCAGGCATTAGAAGTGATGTTCGGTTTGGCCGTGTCCGTTCATTGTTATTAGTCACAGGCCAGGCTGCTGTGGTCGTGTGTATACTCCCTGCGCCGAGGGAACTTATCGGACGGGGAGTAGGGCGAATGCTGCTGTGCTGACGATACGCCTACCTCCTCGAATCCATTCATTGTCCCGAACGGTTGGCTTGATTATAAGGAAGCTCTTCAGATATACTTATTATTTCAGTCAGTCATGTAATTTTGTCTAAAATTATGTGCCTAATGTTATCCAAAACGCATTTAGCTCATGAGCTCTACAGATTAAAATGAGCAGTCGATACCTAAATAGTTCCAAAATTGGGCTTGGAAAAGGACCTATTCAAATTTGGCATGCTTAAATTAAATTTAAGTTTTTCGTCATAAAAAGTGACCACAGGCCACAGCGGCAGCAAGAAGTCTCATCTTGCACACGCGACGCCCGCCTCAGTGCCCGGAAGGCGCGAGTCGAGGAAGTGTAGGAGTGGCCGGCGGCCAGCCGC